TATATATATAATTTAAATATTTAATTTTAATTTTTTAGGTTCAGTGCCATTTTATTATATTATTATTTAAGAGATTTTAGGCCACAGGTCACCAATATTACAATAACCAATTTCTTTTAAATATAATAATAATATAGAATAAGGACAATATATATATAACCGAATGTTTAGTAATTAAAATATTTTAAAGAAAAGTGACTTAATTTAAAAAATAAAAATTGTGTTTACATATTCTTGAATATGTAATACATGTTCTTGAATATGGCTCAAGAAGCTGAAACAATAGCAAATAAAGACATACAATAAAAACGTATCTTATTGGTGACCTGTGGCCGAAAACCTATTGAATAATAACAATTAAATTTTAATGTTGCTAACCACCTTTACTTTATAGCCATTTATATGACAATGGGACATATGTATTCCACTTGAGAAGCAATTTTAAAAACCCCATAGGAAGCCTTAGTTTGCTGCTGGAGGGCTCCTTGGATCATAAAAGTTAGTGCACTAGCTGATCGAAGCAAGAGTTGAAATTTTTATAGAAATTTCTTAAAAAGTTCCATTTTAACAGTTTCTGTAAAATATTTAAGGAAAAACTTTTTAAAATAAAAAGTTCTGGGTAACTTTTTTGTAATAAAGTTCTTAAGAAAGGTTCCATTAAATGAAAAATTAAAATTAATTAGGCTTAGATTAGAGTTATAATTTGTCTTGAATGAATTACAAATGATTCTTATTTGTCGTTTGCTTGAGTAGCTATGAATAAAAGTCATTTTTTAGATTGACTTTAGGGAAATCAACAGAACTTTTAAGTAAAAGTATTGTAAAAATAAAAGTTCTATGAAACCTTTACTTGAAAAGTTTCTGAGGAAAAAGTTCTAGTTCCAAAAAAACTGAAAAACTATCAACAATAATAATTCCCGTGATATCGAAACTTCTAAATATAATTTTAAATTTTATTTTTTTTTCCATTTCAAGATTGAAGTTCCTGCCTTCCTTATGTGGGGGACCCCGAGCTCAGGGGACCAGGCGGAACCAAAGGTGCCGGATAGTGGACTTGCACTCCCGGACCATGAGCGGCAGGCACCAACAGGGTAGGGGAGGGTGGTCAGTGGTGCGGCCATCCTCAAAAATACTCCAGAGAGCCCTAAGATGGCAATTGTAACGAGGCGAGTGTGTGCTACCTCTAAATATGCACAACCACTCGCCCATCACAGCGGGGACACCTAGGAGAGGGACAACTCCAAATAAAAAACCGGACGGATAAGGCACGTTAGCTGTGGCAGGCAACTTATCTAAAGGAAAGAGACCCCGACAGAAAACCTCTGGTCCTCCAGGTTGGGGGTTGTCATTTGGGTCAGCAGCTCATTAACGTAAAACTCTTCTCGCTACAAGTAGTCAGAGGAGCCTCTGATTTGGATAGTCATAATGGAAGCAGACTTTGAAAACGGAAACGGACTTTTCATTTTGGTACTTACAATATTTAGAGCTTCACCAAACAAAAAATCTCAGGTGCGGAAAGAAGTGGAGAGAGCAGGATTGGATCTGGTCGTACTCACAGAGACCAAATTGAAAGGAAAGGGACAAGAGATATCAGGTGAATATGTGCATATCTGGAGTGGTGTAGGAAGAGATGTGCGAGCCAAGGCAGGTGTTTCGGTTCTGATAAAGAAACACCTCAAAGAAAAGATCACATATTGTGAGGAAATATCGGAAAGGATTATCCGTGTAGATATAGATATTTTTACAGAAAGGTCGCAGTCATAGACATCTACGGTGCTGGCAATAGTGAACCCCCGCAAGTGAAGGATGAATTCGAAGAGAATTTTAGGTTCCTGCTGGAGAAGATAAATGGGAGCGAAGAAGTCATCATTCTTGGGGATTTCAATGCACGAGTGGGTCGCCAAGTAGGAAGCAGAGTTGTCGGAAGGAATGGAGAGGCTCAGATTACAGACAACGGAAAGAGGCTCATGATGTTTGCGAAGCGTTCAGAACACATTCTTTCAGCACAAGCCCATACACCAAATCACATGGAGTTAGCCTGGATTCCAATCGTCTATACTGGATTATTGCATCACCAGACAAAAATCAAGTTGTAAAGTGGAAGATGTGAGGGTGTTCAGGGGTTGGCAATGTGGAACTGATCACTTTATGCTCCGGACTTTATGATTCTTTTCCCGTGGAAAGGTGGACGGGGTCTAAAAGAGGGACGCTGCAAAACAGAGAGTATCACCTTACCAAAGTACAAACTATATCTCCTTACAGAGGACAGTGTTGGGAGGTTATACAGAAGCAGACTAGAGGAAAAAATAGATCTGAGCCAGGGAAGCAATCTTTCAGAAAAATATGAACACTTAAGGGAGTGCATCCATGCAGCAGCCTCAGAGGCGTTAGGGTATGATGAAAAGAAAAAAACAACCAGATTGGTGGTCTGAGGAGGTCTTGGATTTGGTGGAGGCCAAAAAAGAGGCATATAAGAACTACCTAGCGTCAAACGGGGACCAGGACTGGATTGCCTACAGAGCTCTGAACAAACGTGTAAAGGAGGAAGTTGTAAAGGAGAAGAATAACTCCTGGGAGAGATGCTGCCAGAAAGTAGAAGGGACACTGGGCTTCAATCGAGTGCGAGAAGCTTGGAATATTTTGAGGAGCTTGAGGGCACCACGTAAGGGCAATGTTGTCTCTTCTATCAGTGAGGACACATGGAAAAAGCATTATGAGACCCTCCTTAACGAAAGTAGAGCGAAGTTTATGGCACAAGAGGGCAACGCACAGGAAGACTGCAAGCCGGACCATATACAAGGATCGGAAGAAGAAGTGAGGTCTGCTATAGGCAGAGCTAAAAGCGGAACAGCTCCCAACAAGCTGTTGGGAGACTTGTCCGGGATAAGCTTGAAGGAGAGTACACCACACCGGTGGAACAAACTGGTTTCACTGCCAGGAGATCCTGTATGGACAATATTTTTGTATTGCGGCAGCTCATTGCGAAATGCAGGGCAAAGAATAGGGAGCTTCATTTATCCTTCATTGATCTGGAGCAGGCATATGGCAGTGTCCCTAGGGAAAGAATATGGCCAGCACTGAGAAGAGCGGGTATTAATGAATCCACGGTAAGGGAAATTCAACACTTGTATAGAAGCGATTTGAACAAAGTGAAGATTGGGAACCGCCTCTCGGAACCATTTTCTGGAACCAAAGGGCTGAAGCAGGGGTGTTGTATGTCTCCAAGCATTTTCAAGGTATACTTGGATGAGGTAGTGAAGCAATGGATGAGAGGAAGTCCAAACTACGGAGTGTACTTTGACGACGACGAGCTCCTTACCCTGTTCTTCGCAGACGATCAAGTAGTGATGGCCCGGAAGAAAGTTTTCTTGGAGACGGTTGTTGTCCAATTAAAGAAAGCTTATGAAGAGGCAGGTCTCAGGATTAACTTTCAAAAGACTGAGTATATAGCACTAGGAGATGAAGAAGACGACCTACGCATAGGTGAACAGGTATATAGAAAAGTAAAGGCATTTAAATACCTCAGGTCCTATCTGGACAATGTTGGAACGTCCGAAGTGAATGTCCAAAACAAGGTAGAGATAGCAAGAAAAGCTACTAGAATGCTGCATCCTGTTCTCTGGAACAACACTATTTCAAACGGAACAAGCGGCGTATCTTCACGGTTATTGTCGAGTCCATATTAACCTACGGATATGAGGCATGGTCGATGAATGCTGGCTTGTATGCCAAAATTTGGACTGTAGAAATGGATTTCTGGAGAAGGTGTTTACAGTTAACGAGGCTGGACAGAGTACGAAATGAAGTGGTGAGACAGAGAATAGGTGTAGAGGAGACCGTCTCTGAGAGGATTGGGAAACGGCGATTGATGTGGTATGGGTAATGCAGGAGATTGACGGAGGAGCATTGGCCGAACAGAGTCCTGGACTGGCAGCCACCCGGAAAGCGTATTCGAGGACGACCGAGAACCACGTGGATGGAAGGAGTCCGAGAAGAGATGGCCGGCCGAGGTCTACAGGAGGGTGACTGGGAGGATAGAGATGTGTGGAGTTCTGCTCTGACCTGAAGAGGTATCCCACGTTGGAACACCGGAAATAAAAAAAAAAAGATTGAAGTTTAAGTGGGTTGTATATGCCCCATTTTTTTTTTTTTTTTTTTTTTTTTGTATTTTTTATGCTCAACAGCAGTTCATGAAACAGTTTCACTAAAAATTAAGGGAGGTGGGATGGGCAAGCTGCGTAATACGTGTGCACAGCACTAAGTGTTGCCTAGCAACCTGGATAGAAGAAAATGTGATAGAGTAATAAGATGTTCATGTTCCGGTACTAAGGTAGGATTTTAACTCTGGCATTAATTCCCTGGTCCAGAAAATCACCACATAGTCTAAAAGGCGAGGAAGGGGAGGACAAATAAAAAAAAAAAAAAATCAAGCAATAGCAGTTCTGTCCTATAAGGATTAATAAGCTATAAAAAAAAAAAAAAAGCACTAAAACATTTTTTTTGTTGAAGTATCAACAGATAATAAATGCACCAAACAGCAAGATTCACTTAAAATATTATTTGGAAAAAAATGTAGTACAGTGGTTTTGGCATTACTTTTATAAATTGTACAAAATCACATACATATGCTTTTATTATACACTATATAAAATTGTCAAATGTATGTATTTAAGAAATTTAGATTAATTATAGTAATTTACTTGTCAAAAACTATTGTTTAAACTAGGTAAGTATTTTTAAATTTTATAACATTCACAATTAAAATCATAAATAATATTTATGTTTTGTTTATGGAAATTGCATGAAAGTGAGTACATTATTGATCAATACAAATCAGTAGTATTTTTATAAATAACTAAAAAATAAAATAATGTTATTAGAACATAGTTGCACAAATTTTAGTTCAAAATTCAGAGAATGTTCAAAAAACATGTATTTAGATGTATCATTAAAATATTACATACAATAACATTAATGTAATACATAAATTTTCAATATACCTTGTTTAGGCAATGGAGTCATCCGTTGAGGAGTGTTAATAATGATCAAAATACAAAATATTAAAACTATAATAAATAAATTCCACACAAATCGCCTCCCACCAGCTGTAAACATCTGAAAAATGATATTTTAAATTATTATTCTATAAATCAATGCTATAAGTACAAATGGATTGAATGTTGAACGAAATAAATGAAACATTTCATTTGAAAAAAATAGGTGTAAAGTAAATGTTTATAGAATTCAATAAAAAAAATATTAAAAAATGCAGAATAGATTAAATTGTATTAATCTATGATTCAATATCCAGAAGTCTAAAGTAAAGGTTTACAAATAAAGGTTCAAGTACCTTACATACCTTAGAAAATCTGTTGAGATTCCTCATATCCTTTAAATCAGTAAATTTTGAAATGGACATTTATAAAGTACACTCCTTTTGGTAATAACTTAATGTGTAATAAAAACATGATTTAAACCACTATAAAAATTAATATTGTTTTTAAAATGTCTGTTTTATTAACTTCTACAGTACTACTTCATTGAGAGGCAAAACATTCATCAGAATTTGAAACCAAATTAATTAATTTGGTTTATCCATTGATTAACTTCTACAGAACTATATCATTAAGAGTTAAAAAAAATTCACTAATCATAACAAAGAGATAAAACAAAAGATTAAAAATGAAATAAATGGGACTATAAAGAAATCAATTCACTATAAAATTTACCATTAGTACCTCTTTCAAAAGTAATTATATGCCAATGGTACAAAGAAATATAATTAGGACACAAGAAAGCTCAATGAAAGGAAATCTATATGGGCAAGATAATACTATTTTAATAAAACATTTTTTTTTTTTTTTTTTAAGATTAGGCCTGCAATATGGCTGTAATACTCTTAAAATATGTCAGAAACAATCTTTAGTAATAGCAATTGTCAATAAAAGATAAATATAAGACCATGAGCCAATAGGATAATATGATTAAAATTATGATGTATGTTAGTCACATTAAAATTAAACACAAGAGATCAAATAATTGGGATTTTGCTCTGCTACTGTGAAGCCTTGATGAAGTGAAGATTTTCCGTTATTTGCATCACTTTTAAAATTGCATATATATTTATCATGATGACTCTAAGGAAAGTAAGGTAAATATATGAAAGAGTTCTAATTGGAATCAAATGATATATATGAAAACCTAATCAGTCCATTCAATTTACAATAAAATTACTTTATTTCAATGAGTACAATTTTTACCTTACGCGCTCCATGGTTAATAATTCTAAACCATGTTAAAATGAAGAAACTCCATTCTATATGCATATCCATTGTTGGGATACATCATAATTTTTCATGTAATAAATTTTTAAATAAAATTTAACATAATATTTATCTCCATACCTTGATGATATTTGGAGCATTGTTCGATATCCACGAATTATATGATTAAAATAACAATAAAACTGGTAAAAAAACAATAAGAAATAGGATAACACCCCCACATAGTAGGGCCAGGAAGGTAACTAAGGTTTTGAAGTGAAGTAGGGGCAAGTTACCAAGTTAATCAACTTTGATCTCACTGATGGCATCGTTTAGTCCAGTTTAGACACGGATCTAATCGTAACCCGATCTTGTAATTATTCATTTTTAGATTTGGTATACGTTTGGTTCCCTCAAGTAGTAGAGAAAGGTAAGTTAGATGGTTTTCTAATGAAATAATTCAAAGAGCTCTATTCACTTAAAATTAGTAAGTGAGAGATAGTTTAGAGCAGGGGCCTCCAAACTACGGCAAGCGGACCAGATCCATCCGCGAAAGTTTCTTTGATTACAGGGTAAAATTTAAAAAATTTGAAATTAAGCAAATTACATATACCCGAGGTTACTACAACAGTCATTGCGTTGGTTTGTTCTGTTAGAAAGCTCATTTCACAGCCGAAGTGGCATTTATAGAACAATGTTTTGTTTGTTCATCTCAAGCCATGGCCCGCTGGTCTTGGATGGAGGTCTCAATGTGTCCCGCGGAACTTATTCGAGTTCTCATTGTAGCCTATGTACGTTGGAGACACCTGATTTAGAGGAGAAAGGAGACAGCGGAATGAAGTGAATCACTTAACTGACTCAATGTCGCTATTTTGCTAAGCGGTTTATTATCTTACAAAAGTTTAGCCAAAAAAAGATATTTTTGTTGAATCTATTTACACTGTATGCACGTATGTAAGCCGGGTTTGGATAATGAGAGTTTTCGTAAAGAACTTTAATAACGAGTATTTCTCGCGATTAAGACAGAAAACGATCCAACAATCTGATTCATGAGTCAATGGAATCTAACATGAGTGACCAACTATCGGCTGTCAATCGTAGAGTGATTCCGTTAACACTTGTTCCACGCCATATTTTAGCATTAACAATTATAACTGCGTTTGTTTGCAGCTTCAAAGAAAGTAATGGGATGTAACGCCGCTTGTTGTTCTGATAATTTTGTAGTCAACAATTCCGACTAAATTTTACTTGAATGATTATCTAGTTGAGTTGAAAATATTTGAAATTTACTCCAGTATGATAAGACCTTTATGAGGATCATTTTGTTTATAATAAACAACCTTTTTTTTTTCGGGCCCCCCATAGTTTTATTTTAACTATTACATCTATAAGTATAATAACGTAGAGATGGTTGACCGTGATATAATATGAGGAGTTGATCGAGGGGAGGAGGTGCGGTCAAATAAATACTAAATTATAGAAATAGTATTATTTAATTTTTTTTGCCGACGTTTCGACCCACTTTGCAGGTCTTCCTCTGGGCGTAGGGTGTAGCACTGCGGGAGGCAGTTGAAACACTGTTGAGTTTCAGATATAATTGCTCCACTCTTATAGGTTTATTATTTTATTTTATTTTGTTAACATCCTCTCAGTAAAAACTGTAGCACATTAAATCGTACCATGGGTCCAACCTCTCACCCCTGTCATTTTTCAAGCCCCTCTCCAAATCACTTAAAGAAGGAGAATTTTGGTTTAGAAATGGTGGCAACGATGCAAAATGTCTTCTGATATTAATTATTTATTAGATAATCTCGTCCAGTGAAACTTCAGTTCCCGTAGTTCTATTGAAAATGATATCGTGAAAAACGCGATTTTGTTTTACTTCAATCTGCATCTACTGTATTTTGTTAACCAGTAGTTTTAAATGTTATTTTGTAACTTTTATTGTCATGTTAAAGCTCTGGATGAAATAAACAAGACACTCACGCGAGATACTCTTTCCATTTGTTTTCTTGTTGTTCATCTATCTTTTATTTGAGTTTCTTTCTCCCTTGGTATCTATTCAAAAGATAGGACAGGACCTCGAGATGTCCAGAATTTAGGCTCAAAATAGAATGAAATTTTATTAAACTTCTTTATTTTTAGTCAGTTTAAATTGTACTGTGCTATTGATAGATCATTGTGTTGTAATGACAGGAGGAAGTACAAATCTGCAGAATCTTTGAAAATAATACAAAGAATAGTACAAATCTTTGAAGTGGCAGACAATGCCTTATTTTACATAGAATGATATAAAATTTTATTATTCAGATTAAAATTTCCATCAAAAATGTATTTCCTGTTTCGGCCCTTGCTTTAGGACTATTAAAATAAATATACTTTAAAATAATGTTAGTGACCTAAAACATAAAGAAAAACCTTCATAATATAATCAAACAAATCTGTAAAGAAATTTCAAATTTATATTTATTATCTAAATTGCAGTCTTGGTTTTATTTTTGTAGAATTTTTTTTCAGCATTGGAAATTTTTAACGCTTAAGTCTTTACTTGTCATAATTCGCCTCTGTACGGAAAAATAGACTGTTTTGAAAGCGACAAATAAGGCTTACACATATGCAGCATCGACTTTTGGAAGGAGTGCTTTGCCACTGTAATTATCACAAAGTTACAACCCTTCATAAGGAAAGCAAATTAGACCCGTTTTCTGAATCTTAGACGTCCTTTTCTCTTCCCATATGTTCTGGATTTATTGTAATAGCTTGATTCTTAGTTATTCTCCATACCTGGAGCCCTTTTTTTTTTCATGCCGATAGCTTCACATCCAGAATTGTGTAGGTCGAGTTCAACATGATCTATGTCTCGTGGGTTTCCCTTGATTCAGAAATGGGTTGAAATTTTCATTACAGGTGCTTAGTATAATTTCTTCCAATGCCGTCGGTTTACGATATTTTCCTCACATTTGGGAATCAATTTTTTATCATACCCTTTATTTCCTTATATCTACATGTAATTTGAATACATTTCCACCCTGCCAGTTTTCCTCATTGGCAACAGTTTCTTTTTAAATCTTTCATTTATCCTTTTTCTGGTGGCTGTTTATTTCATCAGAGAAGCTTAATCAGTTTTGGGCAAGGCATACTTTAATTATTATTCTTTCCTTTACAGCCGTTTCCGTTAAACACTCTTGGTTTTTCGTTTCCCCTCAATACATATCCCTTAGCTGTTTCTTTTATTCCTGACTCTAATGTCTCCAATTAGAGGGTTGATCAACCGAAAAGCCTTTTAAGACCAATATTTCGAATTTATTCTTCAGCTCAATTTTGAATTATGATTCATACCATCCTCTTTATTCATTATTGCTTATTTCTTTTAGCCTTTGATTAATTTTTAATTTGATTATAATCAGAGTTTGGTCTGAATCACAATCTGTTTCATTAAACTTTTTAATGTTTTGTTTCAGAGATGGGCAAAATCGGAATCAATGAATAAAACTGAAAATAAAATTTAATTTTTTACTTTATTCTCTAACTCTATAAATATAGAAAAAATGTGCCATGATTACCAGATTACAATCCTCATCGGAAACCTGATTACGATTGTAAACGGGAATCACGTAATCAAAATAACTGAAATTGTAATCACGTAATTATAATGACTGTAATCGTAATAGTTGATTATGATTATGTCCATCTATGGTTTGTTTGTTGTTTAAAGGCGTAAAGCCAATCTTGACGAGTTGGATGAAGTTCTGATGTCTCTTTTACTTCAAGGCTTACCGAGGTATACTTTTGTACGTCCTATAGCCAGTGCCAGCCTTAAACATTCGGTGCCCCCCCTCCCCGGGAAATGATG